AGAGAGGAAGGAAGAGGGTTAGAAAGTTAGAAACATCGATGAGAGAGCAACATTGATCAGCTGCCTTCCGCACACCGCCCACTGGGGATGTGCCCGCAACCCAGGTACATGCCCTTGACCGGAATCGAACCCAGGACCCTCGAGTCCGCAGACCGACGCTCTATCCATTGAGCCAAACCAGTTTTGGCTTAATTTTATTTTTATTTTTAAAAATATATTTTATTGATTTTTTACAGAGAGGAAGGAAGAGGGATAGAGAGCTAGAAACGTCGATGAGAGAGAAACATCGATCAGCTGCCTCCTGCACACTCCCTACTGGGGATGTGCCCGCAACCAAGGTCCATGCCCTTGACCGGAATCGAACCCGGGACCCTTCAGTCTGCAGGCCGACGCTCTATCCACTGAACCACACCGGCCAGGGCTGGGCAGGCGTTTTCAAAGCATCGGCAGATTATTCCGATGCCCGGCCAGGGCTGAGACCCACTGGGGGGGAAGGGGGACTCCTCCAAAGCACTGTCTGTGGGTTCCTCCTCCTGCTCGGAAACAGCCCCCCAATACCAACGGGGGCCTGAGACGATAAAACAGCCTCTTTTCTCATGTGTCAGCGAAACCGGTGTGTGCTAGGGATGGGAAGGGCTGACAGCCCTACCGGGACTGCCCCGTGGTGCAGCTCGGGAGAAATACACGGAAACAGGGCCTGTGAGGACGCCCCGGAGTCACACGTGTGAGTTCTTATCTGAGTGATGATGTCCCCTCGGAGCGGCGGCCGGGGGAGGAGGCGCCATAAAACCCAGCGTGCCACATGGAAACGGGAATTTGTTAGCGAGAAGCTGCCCTGGAGACGGAGGTAGAGTTATTTAAAATGCCTTGAATGGCAAAAAATAAAATAAAATAAAATAAAATAAAATAAAATAAAATAAAATAGCCGAAACCGGTGTGGCTCAGTGGCTAGAGCGTCGGCCTGTGGACGGAAGGGTCCCGGGTTCGATTCCGGTCAAGGACATGTACCTTGGTTGCAGGCACATCCCCAGTATGTGGTGTGCAGGAGGCAGCTGATGGATATTTCTCTCTCGTCAATGTTTCTGACTCTTTATTCCTCTACCTTCCTATCTGTAAAAAATCAATAAAATATATTTGAAAAAATAAAATAGAAATAAAATACACCCCCCCCCCCCACACACACATAACCATTTAAAAATATATTTTTAGCTCTGGCTAATTTGGCTCAGTGTATATCCACTGTGAATATCCAGGGTCCCGGGTTCGATTCCGGTCAAGGGCATGGACCTTGGTTGCGGGCGCATCCCCAGTGGGGGGTGTGCAGGAGGCAGCTGATGGATGTTTCTCTCTCGTCGATGTTTCTGACTCTTTATTCCTCTCCCTTTCTATCTGTAAAAAATCAATAATATATATATACTGTATTTAAAAAAATACATGAACAAGTACACTTGTTCTTGCGTGTACATGCATACACACATATACACATACACGTGCATACATGCACAAACACGCATGCACACGCACACGCCAAGCCAGGGCAGGGTCTCCCCCATGGCCTGACAGATGTGTGGTGCTGCCCGGTGCATGGTAGCAGCATCGCTGGACCCCCCTCCCGCCGGCTGTCCTAACCCGGGGCAGCCCAGACCTGGCCCGATGCCCCCCAGGGGGCGCCATCGCCCCTCTGAGCGCCGGGGACTAGGCAATGACCTTGCTCTTCTTCAAGGTCAAGGGGAGTGAGCTCTAAGGCTCAACCCAAGAGGAGAAGGACTTGCCTTTGCTCTGAGCCCCACAAGGTCCATCCCCACCTGGACACCAGCTTCGACACCTCTCAGCCAGCCGGCCCTGGAGGGCTGCCCTGTTCCCCAGTGGAAGTGTGCCAGGAAGCCGGGGGGACACACAGCTGGAGGCAGCGAACATCTCCCCGGCTCACAGCAGCCACGGGCGTGTTTTTTAAAGGAAGAGGGATGGTGTCGACCTCTGAATCAGGAGGTCAGGGTTCGATTCCCGGTCAGGGCACAGGCCCAGGTGGCGGGCTCCATGCCCAGTGTGGGGCGTGCAGGAGGCAGCCGGTCCATGACTCTCTCTCCTCATGGATGTTTTCTATCTCTCTCTCCCTCTCCCTTCCTCTCTGACATCAATAAAAAACATATTTTTTATTAATTTATTTTTATTTTATGTAATATATATATATTTAAAATATATTTTATTGATTTTTTTTACAGAGAGGAAGGGAGTGATAGAGAGCTAGAAACGTCGATGAGAGAGACACATCCATCAGCTGCCTCCTGCACCCCCCCCCCCCCACTGGGGATGTGCTTACAACGAAGATCCATGCCCTTGACAGGAATCGAACCCGGGACCGTTCAGTCCGCAGGCCGGCACTCTATCCACTGAGCCACACCGGTCAGGGTTCTCATCAACAGATTCTTAAGAAGGATGGTCCCGAATCTTAGAAAGAAACGGGTTACAACTTCTGTGCCACCATAATTGCATTTTGTGGGAAGAAAATCAATGAAACACTATGTTCTGACATGGCTACAGCCCATGTTTTATCAGACACAGAGATCTGAGAAGCACTTATTAAAAGAGAGAGAGAGAGCCTGCCCAAGAGGCCCGGGATCACAGAGAGAAAACCACAGAGGCGGGCCTGCTGCTGGGCCTTCAAGCACTTGCTGACTTTATATATATATATATATATATATATATATATATATATATATATATATATATATATATTATTGATTTTTTTACAGAGAGGAGGAGAGAGGGATAGAGAGTTAGAAACATCGATGAGAGAGAATCATCGATCAGCTGCCTCTTGCACACCCCCTTGCTTCCCCCCACAATTCCAGATCAATATTTCCTGTCTTGTGTGTCAGTTTGTCTGTCAGCTCTTTCTCCAAGTCTTTGAACCTGAGAGCCAAGCTGGCCATGGCTTTTCACATTCTGCACAGGGACCTCGGCCCACAAGGGGACCCTGGGGCGGGGGGGCGCCCCGTTCTGGGAGGCCCTGCAGCCCCAGCACCTGCCTGCACGGGAGAGGCTGGGGCGGGGCGTGGGGCACCCCTTTGGCGGGAGGAGCTAAAGCTGCCAGACCCGCAGCGGCTCAGAGCTGACTGGTTACCCAGTGTGGACCCATCGCCCGGTCAGCGCTGTGAGCATGGCACCTGACCTCACGGGGGAAGTCACCCCTCCGACGTGTCAGCAGCAAGGTCATGGGACCTCGCAGCTCACAGAACGGTCTCCCTCCCGCCTCCCACGGTGCACGCTGCGCTGGGAAGGTCCCACGTGAGGTCAGAGGGCATTTAAAAACATATATATTTTATTGATTTTTTTACAGAGAGGAAGAGAGGAACAGAGAGTCAGAAACATCAATGAGAAACACCGATCAGCCGCCTCCTGCACACCCCCCATTGGGGATGTGCCCACAACCAAGGTACATGCCCTTGACCGGAATCGAACCTGGGACCCTTCAGTCCGCAGGCCGATGCTCTATCCACTGAGCAACATGGGTTTCGGCCAGAGGACATTTTTAAAGTGTCCCCCCCCCCCACTTTTGTAGCTTAAACATCAAATCATAAGCTATCATCCAAAGAGCATAGATGAAAATATCCTGAATATATTCCATTAACTGATCCAAAACACATATACAGCCGAAACCGGTTTGGCTCAGTGGTAGAGTGTTGGTTTGCGGACTGAAAGGTCCAGGGTTCGATTCCGGTCAGGGGCATGTACGTTGGTTGCGGGCACATCCCCTGTAGGGGGCGTGCAAGAGGCAGCTGGTCGATGTTTCTCTCTCATCGACGTTTCTAACTCTCTATCCCTCTCTCTTCCTCTCTGTAAAAATCAATAAAAATATATATTTTTTAAAAAAGTTATCAAAACACATATACATTGAGCGGCCAGATTACTATGATCTCTGGACATAACAATAATCTGACCACTCAGTGTATAATATACTGATATATTGTATATTTGTATTAGAGGCCCGGTGCATGCATTCGTGCATGGGTGGGGTCCGGCCAGCCTGGCCAGGGGGAGGGGACGTGGGCGGTGGGCCGGCCTGCCTGCTGGCGGAACTCCGGGTCGAGGGGACCATGTGCACATTAGCCTTTTATTCTATAGGAAGGATCTACACAGAGTGGCCAGATTGTTATGCGTTTGGAGAGCATCATCATCATCTGGCCACTGCGTGTGTGTATGTATCTGAAACACCCCATGGTAAGCCCAGTCAGCTAAGGAAGTGTGAGCAGTGATGTTCCTGAGGATCCCTGTGCCTGAAGCACATCACTGGTCCTGGTGAGCGTGCACACACCTGCCAAGGCAGCGGGCCCAAGGCAGGACCCTGGACAGCGCCCGCTCCCCGGAGTTCACCCCCCTCCCTCCCGGAGCCAGAGCAAGGTCCTCACAAATATTTCCTTACACTGAACAGCAGAGAGTTCGACTACTCATGTTCGAACCTGGAAATGAAGCTCGAAATCCTATGACAAGGGCCTCCATTTTCTTTTCTTTTATTTATTTATTAATATACTTTATTGATTTTTTTACAGAGAGGAAGAGAGAGGGATAGAGAGTTAGAAACACCGATGAGAGAGAATCATTGATCAGCTGCCTCCTGCACCCCCTTTCCCCCTACTGGGGATGTGCCCGCAACCCAGGTTCATGCCCCTGACCAGAATCGAACCTGGGACCTTTCAGTCCGGAGGCCGACGCTCTATCCACTGAGCCACACCGGTTTTGGCTCTATTATTATTATTATTTTTATTTTATCATTCTGGCCTCACTTTTCCTTTTTATTTATCTATTTTAAAATAAATCTGTATTGTTCCTGTTATTAACAAATGTTCCTCATTTTTAGCTCTATTTTTTTAAAAATATTTTTTATTGATTTCAGAGAGGAAGGGAGAGGGAGAGAGAGAGAGAGAGAAAAAAAAAAATCAATGATGAGAGAGAATCATGGATCGGCTGCCTCCTGCACGCTCCACTCTGGGGATCGAGCCCGAAACCTGGGAATCGAACCTGGGACCCTTCGGTCGGCAGGCCGACGCTCTACCCACTGAGCCACACCGGCCAGGGCAGCTCTATCCGTTTTTAAAGGTGGTCTGGGGACAGGTATCTTATAATGATCGCCGCGGTGCAGCCCGGGCTCCCGGTGGGGTGCGGTGCTGACGGGCCCCCGGCGGGACACGCCTGTCCCCCGTGCCCCCCTCTCGGGCTGCGGGGCGGGGCTCAGGGGGCGTCTTCGTAGAGGACCTCGTCCACCTTCACGTCATGCTCGTCCACGGGGACCTGGGCGCAGATCTGCTCCCTGAACGCCAGGGCCAGCGTGTAGGGCTTCGCCCGCTGGTGCTGCTCGCAGCGGCTCAGGTAGGCGTCGTAGTAGCCGCGGCCCCGGCCCAGCCGGTGGCCGTGCCGGTCGAACCCGAGGCCGGGCATGAAGATGAGGTCCAGGCCGCCTGCGGGGAGAGGAGCGCACGGATGGGGGTGAGCGGCTTCGGGGAGACGGACACCCCTGGGAGGACTGCGTTTGGTTTTTATTTTTATTTAATTTTTTTAAATTTATTTTTATATCTTTTATTGATTTTTTTTTTTTTGCAGAGAGGAAGAGAGAGGGGATAGAGAGCTAGAAACATCGATGAGAGAGAAACATCCATCAGCTGCCCCCTGCACAGCCCCCACCGGGGATGTGCCCGCAACCAAGGTCCATGCCCCTGACCGGAATCGAACCCGGGACCCTTCAGTCCACAGGCCGACGCTCTATCCACTGAGCCACACCGGCTGCGTTTTGTTTTTAGTGACAACTTCCTCTGATGTCTACGGAAACACGTGATCACTCTTAAGACCCACGAGGCCCGGGTTGGACAAAGGAGGAGAGAAACACGACCGGCCCCTCAGCAGGCCCATCCCCGCCCGCCAGGGCTCCGTGTCCTGATTGCAGGTCATGGCATAAACGTCAGACCCAGCCCGGCCACAACCGAGCTCGGCGATGCCAAGGACAAGGCCGACGATCTTTTAAAAATTATTTTAAAAATATATTTCATTGATTTTTTACAGAGAGGAAGGAGAGGGAGAGAGAGTTAGAAACATCGATGAGAGAGAAACATCCATTAGCTGCCACCTGCACGCCCCCTACTGGGGATGTGCCCGCAAAAAGGTCCATGCCCTTGAACGGAATCGAACCCGGGACCCTTCAGTCTGCAGGCCGACGCTCTACCCACTGAGCCACACTGGTCAGGGCAGGGCCTAGGATCTTGTTTCTTCCTTCCTTTCTCTGTTTAAGCCTCGGGTGATCCTACACACGGGCCTGGCAGGGGAGCCCGTATCCCAGAATGTGACCCCTGGAGGGGTTGGGAGGAGGGCATAAGAAAGCCAGACCAGCCCTGACTGGTGTGGCTCAATGGATAGAGCATCGGCCTGTGGAGTGAAGGGTCCCAGGTTCGATTCCGGTCAAGGGCATGAACCTTGGTTGCGGGCACATCCCCAGTTGGCGGTGTGCAGGAGGCAGCTGATCAATGCTTCTCTCTCATCGATGTTTCTCTCTCTCTTCATCTCCCTCTCTGTAAACAATCAATAAGATATATATATATATATAAAAAAGAAAGCCGGAACAGGTGGTCAGCCGTCCCGGGCCGACGCGAGGGCTGGCTCTGATCTCCTCGGAGCCATTCCTGAAGGACAGGATCGAGGCTGCAGACCCGGCTCCCGGCTGGATCCCTCGGGGCACACAGGGACCGGAAGTGGCCACAGCAGCAGCCGGACAGAGCAGCCAGCGGGGCTCCCAGCGCTGTGAGAGGCGGGGAGGGGGGGGGGCCGTGCAGAAAGATGGAGGTCACGGGGGAGAACCACGGGCCTGGGAGGCCCAGGAAGGGGCCCTGCAGCCGCGGGCAGGGAGCGGATGGAGATCAAGAGCCACATCGCATGTCTGACCCGGTGTCCTCACACTCCGGGGACACTCCGTCCTGCCGGCCCAGCCTCCTGTCCGGGGCTTGGACCCCTGCGGGCTGCCACGGGGCTCCTGGCTGACCTCTAGGCATGCGGACGGGGCACTCCTCAGCCCTGCTGGCCGGGACACGCAGGCGGGAGCCGAGAACTCTCTGGAACGGGTTGTTCTCTCAGCAGCTGTGCCGATGACCAGGAGAACGGCGAGGTGAGCTCCCAGCACACGCCTGCCGCCCTGCTCGCCAGAGCCCATCATGTGACTGTCATGACCTTGCTGGGCACACCTGCTGTCTAGGCCCATCCTGGCCCCAGCCGGCTCATCTTTCTCCCTTGGGGTGGCCAGCGGCTTGCACACTCAGACCTCGCCCCCCCGACGTGCTCCCCACCGGGCAGCTCTGCCCACGACCGTGTGAAGTCCTGGGAGGGAGGTGGTGAAGGTCAGTTAGCCTAAAGCACGCCTGTGTCATCTCCACCCCAAAGCCAGGCACAGTCTCTGCCTCTTCCTCAAAAGCGAGTCCGGAAGTACAGAGAGGCCCTGGCCGGTGCGGCTCAGTGGATAGAGCGTCGGCCTGCGGACTCAAGAGTCACAGGTTCGATTCCGGTCAAGGGCATGGTCCTAGGTTGCGGGCACATCCCCAGTGGGGGGTGTGCAGGAGGCAGCTGATGGATATTTCTCTCTCGTCGATGTTTCTAACTCTCTATCCCTCTCCCTTCCGCTCTGTAAAAAAATCAGTAACGTATATTGAAAACATGGAGAAGCGGAAATCCTCGAAGAAAATGCAGAGCCAGGAATCCGGGGCAGCTCCGGGGCAGGGCTCTCAGAACCCCACTGTGTTCTTGAAGCTCACGGCTGCCCCGGAAGAACAGACTGGAACTCAGCTCAGAGCCCCTCCTCAGAGGGACACAGCACTGCACACGAGGGGAGACACGCAACCCTTCCTGTGACGGGTCGTCAAACCGACCGCACCTCTGGTTATCTGTAAAAATGGGGCTTTTAGAAACTGATTTTCTATCATCAACAGATCAACACACGACAAGAGCTGGCGAGGATGCGGAGAAAAAGGAGCCCTCGTGCACTGCCGGTGGGAATGCAGACTGGGGCAGCCACTGTGGAGGACAGTATGGAGCTTCCTTAAAAAACTGAAACTGGAACTCCCATTTGACGCAGTGATCCCACTCCTAGGAATATATCCCAAGAAACTAGAAACACCCATCAGAAAGGATATATGCACCCCTATGTTCATAGCAGCACCACCCACCACAGCTAAGATTTGGAAACAGCGAGGTGCCCGTCAGCAGGTGAGTGTATTATAGAAACTGTGGTCCGTCTCCACAATGGAATACTATGCTGCTGTGAAGAAGGAGGCACTTTTACCATTGGCAGCAGCACAGATGGACTTTATGCTGAGCGAAATAAGCCAGGCGGAGAAAGATATCACAGGCTCTCACTCATTTATGGATAATAAAGAACATTATAAACTGATGAACAAAAATAGATCCAGCCGAGACCGGTTTCGCTCAGTGGATGGAGCGTCGGCCTGAGGACTGAAAGGTCCCAGGTTCGATTCCGGTCAGGGGCATGTACCTTGGTTGCAGGCACATCCCCGGCAGGGGGTGTGCAAGAGGCAGCTGATGGGTGTTTCTCTCTCATCGACATTTCTAGCTCTCTCTCTCTCTTCCTTCCTCTCTGTAAAAAATCAATAAAATATATATTTAAAAAAAAAATAGATCCAGAGGCAGACTGTCAAATGACAGCGGGAAGGCTGGGGAGGGTTGGGGGCGGGGCGGGAAAGTAAGAGATCACCAAAGGACTTGTATGCATGCATATAAGTACAACCAATGGACACAGACACTGGGGTGCGCGGGGGGGGGGGGGGCTGGGGGAACGTCAATTTGTGGGGAAAAAGACGATATATGAACTACCATTTGTAATACTTGAAACAATAAAAAAGAAAAAGAAAAAAAAAGTGTATTTCCCTGAAAACTCACAGTGCTCTTAGGATTCCACTAAACCCGCGGTCGGCAAACCGCGGCTCGCGAGCCACAGGCAGCTCTTTGGCCCCTGGAGGGTGGCTCTTCCACAAAACACCACGGCCTGGGCGAGTCTGTGTTGAAGACGTGGTGTTAGAAGAAGTTTACGTTTTTAAAAAATGTGGCTCTCCGGAGAAATGTCAGTCGTTGTGCTGTTGATGTTTGGCTCTGTGGACGAATGAGTTTGCCGACCAGTGGACTAGACCGCCTAATGAGACAGCTAACTTTTTATAAAACCTTACATTGTGCCGAAACCGGTGTGGCTCAGTGGATAGAGCGTCGGTTTGCGGACTGAAAGGTCCCGGGTTTGAATCCGGTCAAGGGCATGTGCCTTGGTTGCAGGCACATCCCCGGTGGGGGGTGTGCAGGAGGCAACTGGTCGATGATTCTCTCATTGACGTTTCTAGCTCTCTATCCCTCTCCCTTCCTCTCTGTGAAAAGTCAATAAAATATATATATATTTTTAAAACAAAACCTTACATTGGGAAGGCTCCTCCGCTCTTTCTGGTACGTTGGGTCTCGGTGCATTTTGGCCTTTGGGGAATCTCCACCCAGAATCAGACACGCGGCAGTAAAACCACCCACTAAAGACCTGCTACCCGAAGGACTGTTCGCTTCTGCATCATTATAAAGCCCTTTCTTTCCACAGGGTCTGAGTTCCCGCCAGGGAGCACAGGGACTGCATCAGGGCTCCGGCTGGCAGGCGGCGGGAGGTGAGGCGGTTTCTGCAAACCTCCTCCCGCTGAAAGCCTCGGCGCTCCTGAGCCGGGCTATCGTTCAGCCCGTGCCCCCAGCTGCGGTTTTCAGTCCGGGAAGGAGGCGGCAGGCAGGAGCCTGGCAGGCAGGCAGGCTCCTGCGGGAGAGGGGCGGGAAGGAGGGCGGAGGGGGGGTGGGCAAGGTCTACTGCCCGCACCACTGGCGGGCGGTGAGGCTCTCTACTGCCACCTGCTGGCAGCGGACACGTGCTGGCCGGAGGGGCCAGGAGCCGGCTGCCTGGGCAGAGCAGGGGCCCAGGATTCTGCCAGACCTCCTGGTCACGCATGGCCTCCCCTCCCGGTCACGCATGGCCCCCCTCCCGGTCACGCATGGCCCCCCCTCCCCGTCACGCATGGCCTTCCCGTGCACAAAGGCCCCGGGAGGAGACCCCGCTTCCCACCAGGAAGAGGAACGGCTCCTCAGAGTCCCTTTCGGCCCCGGGAGCGGCTGCCAGGCCGGCGCTAATGCACTTGGCAGCCGGGGCGACCGGGGCAGGTGCCAGCCTCCCTCTCCTTCCGACGGGCGGCTGCGCCCTGAGGAGCTGTCACCCCCTGGTGACACGGCCCGTCACCGCCTGGGCGGGCACAGCGCTCCGGGTCCGGCCTGGAGAGGGAGAGCAGAGTGTGTGTGTGTGTGTGTGTGTGGCTGTGTGTGGAGAGTGTGTGTGTGTATGGGGGTGTATGTGTGTGTGCGAGTGTATATGTGGCTATGTGTGCGGGTGTGTGTGTGT